AGGAGCTTGGTCCCCATGGGAGCCCCAACAGCTCCCTGGCTCAGGGCAGCCCTCAGTGTGGGGGCTCCCCCTTTGCAGGTGGCTGCAGTGGAGGTGGGTGACACTGGCAGATACACGTGTGTGGCTGAGAACCCGGCTGGGTCAGCTGAGAAGCACTTCGCCCTCACTGTGCAGGGTAAGGCATCTCCCCTTCTCTGGGTCACTGATTTACCCCCCTCTGGCTCCTCCTCCTCCTCCACCAGCTGGAATCTCCCGTGGCTCTGGAACTGCATGGCTGCCTCTGTCCCCTCGTGCTTGTCCCGCTCACCCTGTGCACAGAGGTCGAGGTGCCACATGCTCTGGGCAGGCGAGAGACGCTCTGTGCATGTGTCCTCCTGGGGAGAACTCAGCCTCCGTGGTGATGGTTCCCTTATGGCACTGTCTTTTGGGATGCGCTGGAGCAGAAGCTCCCTGGATTGTGGACCCAAACCCCGAAAGTGTCGATGGCATCGTCGGTGGCAGCGTCTCACTGGTGTGCGATGTCCGATCCCACCCGGCTGCAGAGATCGCCTGGTACAAGGATGGCCACGTCCTGTGGCTCAGTGAGGGGGTGACAGTCAGCCCAGGTATGGTGGGATGAGCAAGGTTGATAGCCTGTGCCCTGGGGCTTGGCACACTTCCCTAACCCCCCTTTCTGGGTGCTGCCTGTGGGACTTGAGCTCAGATTTTGGCCGTACCACACGGTAACCACATGCTGCCAAATTATCTCCTCTGGGCTCTAAAGGCTGCATCCTGAAAACTCTGTGTTGCCACCCCCAGGAGCTCAGCTCCCTTTCTTTCTGTGCACAGTGAAGCCTCAGAACTGAAAGAAAGACTTTGATGGCCAGACTCCTCTTACATGGAGCTTGGCCAGCTGCTGGGGGCCCAGTCAGTTTGCTGGTGGGGTGGCCCAGACCTGGTCCTGCTCCAGCCTGACCTGACTCCCTGCTTTCGACTTCTTCCAGACTCCCGGGTGCTGCAGATCCATCCCCTGAAGCTTTCCAGCTCAGGCACATACACGTGTGTGGCACTGAACGTGGCCGGCCAGGATGAGAAGCGCTTCATCCTCAATGTCCATGGTGAGTGTGAGGGCTCAGCCAGGAGCTCTGCCTCTCAGAGCACACACCGAGGAACCAGGAGTGAACCCTGGTCTTTGTGCTCCTGCTCACATCCCCATCCCTGCTCCTCTGTCTCAGAGCCCCCAGGCATCCAGGACCTGCAGCAGGAGACACTCGAAGCTGATGTGGGGACCCCCCTCGTCCTGACCTGCCAAGTCACTGGGGTGGCTGTGCCCACTGTCACCTGGCTGAAGGATGGGAGCCCCCTGGGTATGTGTGCAGGGCACACCGTGCTGGGCTGCCATCCCCAGCCTGTTCCCCTGAAACAATCCTGCCTCAGTTTCCCCACTTCCAACCCTGCTGCAAGAGACCCTCAGGAGCTCATAGGGAGGGGGCAGAGTATGAAAGAGTTGGTGTTTTCCCTGAGGGCTTTTATGAGACCTCAGATTCATTCCTGAGGCTTGAAGCAATGGGGTGTGGGTATGAACCTTGATGGAGGGGGATGTGGGCGTGAGTTCTCTGGGTACCAGCCCTTGGGGTACCTGCTGGGACAGGGGTTTGCCCTGAAAGCAGTGGCTCTTTTCTCCTGTAAAGCTCCAGCAGTGCAAACTGCAAAATCTCTGCTGTGCTTTAACAGTGTCCCCAGACCTGGATCCCGGGGGTGGGAAGGGGGTAGCACAACAGTGAGCCTGGGGATGGTTCAGTGGAGGAGCAGTGCTCAGCCCTCTTCACCTGTCTCCTTGCAGAGAGCAGCCCAGAGCAGGGCTTGGTGTCTGGGGGGGCCCAGCTCCAGCTCAACCCCCTCCAGCCCTTCCACCAGGGCCGATACACCTGCCTGGCCCGGGGTGCAGGGGCTGAGACACGCAAGGACTTCGTGGTGCTGGTGCGAGGTAGGGCTTCCCCAAGGCAGCCAGGTGTCTGTGGGCTCTCCTTTGGAGTGGAGCCTTCCTCCCCCTCCTCTCCCTCAGCATCCCCCTCTTCTCGGTGCAGTGGCCCCTCAGATCATCAGTGCAGGGCTCCCCAGTGAGCACAGCGTGCTGGAGGGCAGCGGGGTCAGGCTGGAGTGCCGGGCCCAGGGACAACCCACCCCCCAGATCTCTTGGCTGAAGGATGGGCAGCCCCTGGAGCTGCAGCCCCCCTCACATGTCCGGTGAGTTTGGGAGGGGGGGACCACCCCAGGAGCTGACCACAGCACAGCCCTGTCTGTGCCTCAGTTTCCCCACGTGCAAAGTTGCCATGCAAAGCAGTCTGAGCTCTGCTGCTTCTTCCCATTGCTTGATCTGGCACACGCTCATGCCAGCTCTTTGCTGAGAGCTGCTGAGACAACACCATCGTGGGTGTCCAGGATGGTCACTGTCACCCTGGCATGGTCCCGGTTGATGCCTGGGCTGCGACCAAGCACAGAGCACCTCTGCCCCGCGGGCACGTTAGGGATGGGCACACAGGTCACTGCCCTGTCCTTCCCACACAGGATGTCCCCGGATGGCAGCTCCCTGCTCCTTGAGGGGCTCCAAGCTGCCGACTCGGGGGCGTACACGTGCCTGGCCCGAAACAGCGCGGGCGAGGACACGCGGCTGCACACGCTGAGCGTGCTGGGTGAGCAGGGCTGGGACCCGCGGGCAGGGCCAGGGCAACCTACCCCCGGCAGCCTCATCATCCCCTCTGTCCCCCCACCCAGTCCCTCCCACCATCGAGAGAGGTGCCGAAGACCCGGAGGTGGTCCGTGGAGCCCTGTCCGCAGTGGTGACACTGGAGTGCCGGGCACGGGGGTCCCCTCCGCTGCACGTGAGCTGGCTGAAGGACGGGCTGCCCCTCCACCTGTCCCCTCGCGTCACTCTGCTGTTGGCCGGGCACGTCCTCAGGTGAGAAGTGACCCTGGAGTGATGCTCAGCCGCAGGCTTTGGGGCTGGTACCCAGGTCTGCGTGTGGGGATGGCCGTGGCTGCACCCCGAGGTGGCTGAGTGTCAGCGCGGAGACCCTGGGGAGCAGGGGGTCACCCAGAGCTGATGTCTCCTCCCCACTCCTCTGCCCCACTCCATGGTCTAGGATCTTCCAGGCACAGGTCTCAGACGCCGGCCTCTACACCTGCGTCGTCTCCAGCCGGGCAGGGGTGGCCGATCGCAGCTTCGTCCTGGAGATACGAGGTATGGGACAGATGGGCTTGGGGAGAGCAGAGTGGGGGGCACCCAGGCACTGATTTTGCTGGCAGAGCACATGTTGTGCGTTGTAGTCCACTCCCAAACAGGGTCCTGAGCCATCCCTTAGCTGCTGGCCTGGGTTTGGAGGGGATGGAGCAAGGCAGGACCAGCCTGAAAGCAGTCCCAGAACACCCTGCAGGGAGGCTGAGCAACCTTTGGGTGCTCACAGGACACCAGGGAACTGCCAAACCCATCTCCAGTGCCTGGGGATCCAACTTTACTCCCACAGCCCCCCCTAAAGGAAATCCTTCCCTCCCCAGTGCCCCCTGTCCTGGAGAGCCCTGAGAGCAGAGAGGAGCAGATGGTGGCTGAGGGCTCTGATGTCACTTTCTCCTGTGAAGCCACCGGGTCCCCAGCACCGGCAGTGACCTGGCTGAAGGATGGAGAGCCCCTGGGGCAGCACAGAGACCAGGTGCCTGGTGGCCCACAGCTGAACCTGGCAGCCGTGGGGCCGTCTGACACAGGGGTGTACTCCTGCCTGGTGGTGAACGAGGTGGGGGAGGCCAGCAAAGCCTTTCACCTCCTGGTGATGGGTGCGTGTCATCCCCCCGGGACTTGGGAAGGGCAGCTTAGCCAATTTTTTGGGAGCAATGAGGGGATGAGTCCTCCTGCCTTGCCACGTGCCTTGCAGAGCCACCCCGTGTCGAGGCTGCATCCCACCCCACTGAGATGTCCCTCACTGTGGGCACCCCACTGGAGCTGACATGTGTGGTCACGGGTGTCCCCATGCCCACTGTCACCTGGGAGAAGGACGGACGGCTGCTGGCAGGGCCCTGGCTCATGTCGGGGAATGAGAGCACCCTCCGTGTGGAGAGCGCTGAGGTAGGAGCTCCTCTTTCTTCTCCCCACCTGCATTTTCTTTTGTGCCTCAATTTGTCCCTCTCCTGGCTGTGTAGGTGGCTGACTCTGGCTTGTACACCTGCCTGGCCACTAGCCCTGCTGGGGAGGACAGCAGGAGCTTCCACCTCAGCATCCAAGGTAGTGTGGCCCCAGCAGTGCAGTGAGGAGGGTGCTGCAGGATGGTCCAAGCTCTGGGGGACCAGAGAGCTGGAGCACCCCTGCATTCCTCTTTGGGATTGGTGGGGGCTGTAAGAAACCTCCAAAGAAGGGTCTGGAGCACAGGATGATGGTCCTGCAGAGTAGAGGCCTGTGCACGACTTACAGGGACAAGTATGGAGGGTCCAACACACGTTGCACATCCTCTGACTCCCTGACGTGTGTCCCACAGCACCACCCAGCACTGAGAGTGCTGGGGAGATCCCCATCATCACGGCTGCAGCAGGGGGGCAGCTCATCCTGGAGTGCCCAGAGGATGCTGAGCCACCCCCCCACATCGAGTGGCACCGGGAGGGCTCCCCAGTGCAGGTACCTGTGACGGGACCAGGGATGGTGCACGGGCAGGGACTGGGGTGAACTTGCACCAGCTCCGAGGGGCTGGCAGGGGCTGGTGCAGGGAGAGCTGCTGATAGGAGCTCCTGGGGGTTTAGGAGGATTCCCACAGGCAGGTCCTGGCCGAGGGGCGCTTCCTGCAGATCCGGGCTGTGCGGGCAGTGGACGGTGGGGAGTACAGCTGCAGGGCCACCAACGCCATGGGGGACACCAGCCTGCGCCTTCGGGTGCAGGTCCACGGTGAGTGCTGCCCTTCCACTGGCCTAGGCTGACCCTGAGTGCCAGCTCCTTCCCTGTTGAATCAGGGATGTGGAATATTATGGGGTGTCTCACGGTTGGACGATGGGGCTGGACTATGCCCTGCCTCCAGTGCCGCTCTGGGCTGGCATCCTCCATCCCTGAGCCCTGTCCCCCACTTTCTGTGATGCTGCCACAGTGGCCCCTGAGATCCAGCCAGGCCCTGAGGAGGTGAGAGCCCTGCTGAACAGCTCAGCTGTGCTGCTGTGCCAGGCAGAGGGATGGCCCGTGCCCCAGGTGACGTGGCGGAAGGACGGCCAGCTCCTGCTCCTTCCTGGGAGTGACAGGTATGAGGCTCTGCAGGTTGGTGACACCAAGAGCTGACACTCAGATAGTGCCACCCTCCACATCAATATGTCATTTGGTGTGCCTGGAGCAGAGGCAGTACTGTCACGCTGTGAAGAGCTGTGCTCTGTCCCCACACCAGCTCCCTGGGCACGAGCTGCATATGACTGCAGTGGCACTTGTCACCTTCCCATCGACTGGTCACTGTGTGGTGCAGCCCAGCCATGCAGAGCCCCCACGGGGCTTCCTTGCTCTTCCTCCTCAGGCTGCAGCTCCTGCCAGAGGGTTCCCTGCAAATCAACCCCGTCCAGGTCCAGGATTCAGGCCATTACCTCTGCATGGCATCCAGCCCTGCTGGCTCTGACCGCCGAGGCCTGAACCTCCATGTCCTGGGTAAGCTGGAGAGCCAGATGGATCCCTCCTAGGCTCACCCCCTTGCAACCCACCACTGCTGGGCTGCTCTCATCAGTGCAATGATGTGCTACTGTCCTCTGCTTATCACCACCATGCCCTCCTGCAGTCCCTCCCACCATCGCCCCTGGGCCCTCCAACCTCACCCTGCTGGCTCAGCAGCCAGCCACACTGGGCTGTGACTCCTGGGGGTCCCCCGAGCCCCACATCAGGTGGGAGAAGGACGGTCGCCCCCTGAACCTACACCGCCCACCTGGCACCTACAGGTACACTGGGCACCCCGCCCACGGAAGGGTCCCTCTGTAAGGTGGGGTTTACCCCCTCTCACTGCTCCCCGTGGGACAGAAGTGACTCTGTGTTCTGCCTGCACAGTTTGCAGTCCTTGGGATCTCTGCTCATCACCAGCCCTGGTCCCCGGGATGAGGGGAGGTTCGAGTGCATCGCCACCAACGCGGCCGGAGAGGCACGCAAGGTCTTCCTCGTGTCTGTCCACGGTGAGATTCTGGGGGCTGGGGGTCTTGCTGAGAGTGGCTTTCCCAGGATTTGTCACCACCTCAGGCATGATGTGAGTGTGCTGCAGCCCCCCCGGGGTTGGATTCCCTCTCGAGGACTGGGCATGAGGGCAGGCAAGAGAGGAAATAGCTGTGTCCATGTGCACAGGGACAGAATCCCCTTCAGCATTTGCCATGCATCCCTGCTCACCTCCCTCCCTCCCTCCTTCCCCTCTCCAGTGCCCCCCACTATTGCTGATGACCTCACGGATGTGGTTGTCACCCGGCTGTCCCCTGTGGTCCTCACCTGCTACACCTTTGGTGTGCCCCAGCCCACGGTGTCATGGAGCAAGGACGGGGCTCAGCTGGGCAGCAGAGGAGGGGGCTACCGCGTCCTACCCAGAGGTACGGGCACGGGGCAGCAC